TAATGAATCACCACCTTTTTCTTGGTTACATTCATAACTTTCTGCTATTTTTTTAGATAACTAATGTGTTTTCCAACTTCTTGATTTTGTCAGACAGCTTTTTCACTTCGAAGGAAAAATAATGGAATTGGATTTTGCCACTACCTACACTCAGTAAATTACGTCACTGGGACAATCACATCTTTCCTAGTTGTTGGAAATTAAGCGCATATTATATTATTCTGTGTTAATGTGGTGGCCGTCTCATGAGCGGCCTAAACTATCATCAGCGTCATCTTAAAACATAAGAACTATTATTATTGTTATAATAATAATAATAATAATAATTATTATTATTATTATTGTCGTTGTTGTTGTTGTCGATGATGACACTTATTACTGGGTTTACTTGTCCTCCGACCATCTATTCCAAGTTTATTACAAAGTGCGACAAGTGTTATTACAAAGTGCGACAGCTTTTTTATTACAAAGTGCGACAAGTGTTATTACAAAGTGCGACAGGTATTACAAAGTGTGACAATTTTATTACAAAGTGCGACAGGTATTACAAAGTGCGACGATTATTACAAAGTGCGACAGTACAAGGTACAGTTAACACTAGGCTGTCTGTCTGTCTTCACGCTGTTCAGATTACACTCCTGCTGGTTTAAACCTTCTATGGAAAAACAAAAACCATCATAATATTATATTTTTCCATATTATGTTGCTTCTTCAAAAGGTCAATACGATATATGCGCTTCTTTGTTTGAACGTTCTGAGTTCAAAAAGCCTTCTCTCTGGGTAATAAACTGTGTAAACACGGCACCGACCGACAAAAATCAGCTACATAGATAAAATTAAACGCTGCTTTAAAATTTTTGAGGTCCTTTTACCTTCAAAGACCATATCGCTAAAAGATTTTTTGTATTTTCAAACGTTCTTGCCGATAAAACACCAAGTTCACGCTAGTTATGCCATTCTGTTTGAGTCTTCAAGATCACGCCTTATCCAATCGCTGAATACCCTGATCAGATTGCTAATACAAGAGGATCGCTGCACGAACATCCTAGCTCGTTAATATTCATTCAAAATATTTCGCCTGCCATCGTTTCAGGGCCAGGGCGCGTCAGCCGAGCTGCTTGGGCAGGAGGTGAGCTCAAGAAAATGGCGAAAGAGTTTAAGTATCGATGGGGAGAGAGATGGCGGACTAAAATGTTTGCCAGACTCGCTTTGAGGAACTGTTCATGGGTTTGAAGATCAACTCCAACACGACACTCTCACTTCACTTTTGGGTCTCGCGTGGGTGCTGATCCGTACGGACGTGTTTCGCTGTGCTCCCTCAAAAGATGAAATCTTGTTTTAAAAAAGACAGTTTTAATCGTTATCTCCTCAGATCAAGTCAATGTACAAAGTATTTTGGGCTAGTCATGAGCCTATACACCATAAGTCTTCAACCACTTATAACGCGACTGCACGTCTCAAGCGCAGCAAAACTGTGTTGGTTTGCTGATGACGCAACCGGAAGTGGTTCCCCGCAAGACGTGAGAAAATGATGGGATGAACTATCAGAGAGTGGTCCTGCGCTTGGTTACTTCCTAATGTCAAGAAATGTTGGTTGATGATCAAACCGGAACGAGAACAGGCGGCCAGGGAGATGTTTAGAGACAATGCTATTAACCTCACCATAGAGGACCACAAGCATTTAGGCGCGGCTCTAGGATCTAGATCGTTCCTTGAAGAATATGTTGGAGAGAAAGTAGCAGAATTACTAGAGCCACTCGAGCGTGCGGTCAATGAGGTTCTCATACAAGCTGTTACCGACCATACAATCAGTAAAGTAGAGCGCGACCTCCTTGGTTTCCCTGTGCGCATGGGAGGCCTTGGATTTACAGAGCCTGTAGTGACCTCATTTCTGAGTAAGAGGCTTCAATCAAAGTTACTAATCCGCTCGTGAGGCAAATTGTTGAGAAAAAGCACCAGCCTCCAGATGCCTCAGAAATTCGAACACTGCATCCAGCGCCATATAAACGAACTGTGCGACTTGGAAGCAGAGATGTCAAGGCTGTTCTGCAATAACGTGGAAGTGAAGCCGGTCCTTCAGGAGGTTACTGGGTAGCCCGCGTTACAGGCGTCGAAAGGGGTAAGGGATAGGGATGAAGCAAAAACGGGATAGGGATTGGGGACAAAGGGTAAGGGACACCAGCTATGGTGATTTCTGCTGACGCTGGCGTCAGCAAATTCCTGATTGGCTGAGCCGTAATGAGTAACTTATTGGCGTGTATCCTGGCGTGTATTAGTGAGAGACAAACATGATACAGGCATCAAGGAAATGTGTTCTACTGGCAAAAGCTTTAAAGACCACGTTAAAACCCGAAGTAGAACCAACTATTATAGCATGTTTAGCAGGCAGAGATGCTCAGGAGGTTTTGTATACTGGGTTTATTCAAACTCCTAGCGGTGATTTAAGGCGATTAAGATTCTTGCCAGACATCTGCAATGCCGATATTCACAAGACCGCCTTTTCCACAAAAACATATACCGTTTTGAATGAACTTCTAAATAGTTTGAAAAGAGAGAGCTGAAGATTTGGCTAAAAAATATCCACTGAGCTTTCTGACAATTGTTTATAATTCTCCTTTCATTATTCGCGTCTCAGGCTGGCGACTGTTCGGCTGGTCGTTGTGGCTTACCAGCATTCTCTAAAGTTCTAGAGAGAGTAATGTACAATCGTCTTTTGAGGTTTCTTAATAATCATAACATTCTCTATGACAATCAGTATGGTTTTCGCAGGCATCACTCCACTACTTATGTCCTAGCTTGTTAATATGACAAAATCCGCTATTGAAAGTAACGAATATACAGTTGGTATTTGTACAGACTTGTCTAAAGCTAGCCTTTGACACAGTTGATCACAAAATTTTGATTTCGAAATTAGAGCATTATGGTGTTCCAGGCACGATACTTAGATAGTTCAAAAGCTCAGTTCAGAGTCTTGCGAAACAAAGTGCAGGGTGCCTAAGGGCTCTATACTAGGCCCCCTGCTCTTTCTGCCCAGTGCAATGGTATACTTCCTAATTATTTTCGTGATATGTTCACTCTTGCAAGCCAGATACATTCGCATAATACAAGAAATTCTGGCCTTTTTTATATGCTTAATTGTCGAACTAATTTTCGAAAATTTTCAATTCGGTTTCAAAGGTCCTAAGTTTTTCAACTCGCCAAGTCGTAAAATTCAAAACAGTGGATCTATCAGTTTGTGTAGCAAAAAACTTAAAAAATTCTTTCTTTCCTAGTCAAATATCCTCTTTGTTGAGATACATACCTTTTCTCTTTTCTTTTTCTTTTTTTTTTTACGTTTAAAAAAATAATCCCTTTTTATTCAGTAACCTTCACTCACATGGTTTTCTCTATAGCTCCGGGAAGCCTGTGTTGTATGAACCCACCCATGCCCTCTATATAGGCTTTCTTGTCATTACCACTTTAATAATGTATTTAGAATAGTGTAATACTATATTATCTTTAATGTATTATAAATTTCTTGTAAGTTGTTGTTGTATTTATTTAACAGTTAGTCGCTGAAGGCGACGTAAATATCGACGATTTGTAAAACTCCGGGGGGGGGGTACTCCCTCATAAGGACTTAATGGGGACGTGCGGCCAGCCAGGGTATGTTTTGCGGGATTTTTGTCTTAAACAGGGTATCGATTTATCAATTTTTGTCTTAAACAGGATAAATGTCTTAAACAGGGTATCAAAAATCGGAATTCTGTCTTAAACTGGGTAGGAAAATCAGTGATAATTGTCTTAAACAGGGTCAGGATATGAGAAGCCGCGCCGCACCTCCCCACCCAGGGATATATCGAGTACCCCCCGGGAGTAAAACCGATGCTGCGTTCTGATTGGTTGAGCTACTACTAGGCTATATGTTATAGCCCACTAGTAGCCCAAAGCGCTGGCTTTTTAGCGGGAAACAGGGCTTAAAGTCTAGCTTTAACTAGCTTAAGTTGTTTTGTCTCGATATTTTTGACCAACTAAGAGTCAATAGCCCATTTGGCCTTCGGCCTCAAGGGCTATTGACTCAGAGCCCATTCGGGCTCGACGAATAATTGTTAAATAGTCACCGTGACGAAGTCGAGGTGACTATTCGCTGATATTCACGTCGCCTGAGGCGACTAATTGTTTTAGTATAATTCCATTGATGATTATTCGAGAAAATAAATTATTGATCAATTCCCAACTCCGAAACATCAACAAATCTAGCTGCCATTTTGAAAACTGCTAGCCTTCAATGTTATAATCACGGCGCGGTGATTATAGCGGGATGAAGCGAAGCTCCTAGCCAATCATAGCGCTCTATTTTCGATAATCATCAATGTAATTATACTAAATGTGGTTAATGGCAAAATAACTGAACGAACACACACTCGACATTGCTGTCCTTGGGTTCCAATGAATGGTAACTAACTGTATTGATCCTTAATATTTTTTTATTTTGTTTGTTGTCTTTAATACAGTTAGATTGGTTGGTTGGGGTAATGTTACATCCCAAGGCCGAGTTGAAGTCTTCTATGAAGGATCCTGGGGGAGTGTCTGCGGTTCCGGATGGGATATAAAGGAAGCCAACGTAGTTTGCCATCAGCTCGGGTTTCAAGGAGCTATCGCAGCAGTTACATCGGCGTCAGGTTTCTCCTCCATGTATAGCGCTCAGTGTGATGGAAATGAGACGTCATTAACCGAGTGTGACCTAACGCCTAGAAGCTGGTGCTGGTCTAACAGGGCGGCTTGTGTGGTGTGCATTTCCGGTACTTACAAATAATTACAACCTAACAGTCCGGACCAAGGTCATGTGCGTCATTTGATATTTGCTTTCCTTTAGTGCAAAACAACTGTCACACGCGGTAACCAATTTGTTCAGTCCTTTCGCAAAGTTTTAACTCATTTCAAATATAAATTTGGTCATGGTAGTTAACATTTTAAATAGGAAGCAACACTGAACAACTCAGGTAAAGTTTGTTTTCCGTCACAAAAAGCTGTTTATTAAAGTTATAAATTTCCTTTTCAGATCCTGAAAAAGGCCTCTCCACTGATGGGCCAAAAACGAAAATAAATGCCTTGAAAGGTATGTTTGATTGACTGAAGTAAGTAAAGTGAAAAATGTCTGGTTCCCGTGGAAAGTCCTGCCCTGATCTCGACGTCATATTCACTTACATCAATACTTTCATCATCCTGATCATCATTTAAAGCAGCAATATCTCATCATTAACATTTTAAATAGGAAGCAACAACAACTCAGGTAAAATTTGTTTTCCGTCGCAAAAAGCTGTTTAAAGTTATAAATTTCCTTTCCAGATCCTGAAAAAGGCCTCTCCACTGATGGGCCAAAAACGAAAACAAACGCCTTCATTACCATAGTCGTCCGCCCTGATCTCGACGTATCATTATGGTCTGCAGTAGGGAAATGCGTCGTCATCGTCGTCGTCGTCATCATTATCATCATCACCATGATGATGATGATCATCATCATCATAATCATCACCATCATCACCACCATCCTCATCATCATCATCCTCACCATCACCATCATCACCATCATCATCACCATCCTCATCATCATCATCCTCATCATCACCATCATCACCATCATCATCACCATCCTCATCATCATCATCCTCATCATCACCATCATCATCATCATCACCAGATGTCATTAAACATCAAAACCAACAACCCTTCATTACCATCACCTAAACGGCCATTACTAATTCAATACCATTAATACGGTTTATTGTATTTGCGGTTTTTCTAGTACTTTAGAAGATTCATAACTCTTTCAAACTCTCTCTCGATCGATCGAATTGCACATGCAATTATTCCTTTTCAGTGTAAGAATTATATTTTTTTTTCCATTTGGAAAAACCTCGTAAATGAAGATTTTACAACAGTCATGCTTTCTGATAAACGCGAAAATTATTTAAAACAGGCCAAGGAACTTTCTGTGACGACACAAAGACGGCTTCGTAGGAGACTAAAGATGTGGAATCAAAGCAAAGGTTTCATTAACCTCGCTTCTGCGCAACTAGACCCGGGCCAGTTATAATGAGATGCAAATGAGCATGGGCTATGTTTCTACAATCCTAGTATAGCCACTCATTAGCCCACGCAACTGCCATCGATCCTTGTTACACCGAATGGGAACTTTCATTTCTTCTGATTCGTCAACGTCAAGTTCTTACTTTAATAGAACCAGAACACCAAAGCCACTCCTTGGATTGCAACCTAGACCAAACGAATTTTTTATTATGCACGTTACAGGCTTGGCTTTTAATCGATTACCTTAAACTATTCAAACTCCTCCTTAGTTAGAGATAATCATTAGACGAGGTCCAAAAAGGCCTAAATTGTGTTGGTCAATGATAACGTTAGCATCTTCTAAATTGAAGCAGCAATGTGCTATTATTATGACCCTACTGCCAGTAGGAGGAATTCTCCCAGCATTTTTAATAATTTCAGTGCACGGACGGATACTGGATAAGGCGTTATTTGAAGTACTCAAACCCGCGAAAAAAAAAATGGTGACGTATGAATGCAAAACAATATGGTTAATACCAAAATATTTAGTATCAGCGTAGTATCAGCTAGTTCAACATGAAATTGCCAGCAACAACATCAACATCACTGTACAATAATCTGACTATGATCATATTAATTTATGTAGAACTGAGCCGTATCAGGGCCGTTATTTCTTTAATCAGGACATCACCACGGTATGCAACAGCAGCGAGCGTTCACTTGCGGCCCAGCGAACGGTTGGGGAAAAGACACCAGTCATTGGATATTTGCTACGAAAGTGTTACATGGTCCTTTTCAACAGAATAGTATTTTGATTCCCTTTCAATCAAAAAGCATTTTCAGAAACGCTGAAAAAGGCAAAACCACAGCGACAAACCAGTGAAGATAGAAAAATCTCTCGTGTAGACCTGGATCTCTAAATCCTCAATGCTAAGTAGTAAAACAGTTAACTGGTCATTATTTGGTCGATATTTCGGCTTGCAAAAGCAAACTTTCAATGGGACTAAAAAACAAAAATGTATACAGGTACCGAAGAAGAAAAAAGTTTATATGCGAGATGTGAATATACTGCATGAAGCAAAACAAATAGTAAAAAAAGGTAAAAAATGATAGGCTAGAAAGAAATATTAATTCTCATTTTCTCTTAAATAGCTTCCAACGTCTATGTCTCCCCCACAAAGACACAGGTTCCTGTCTATACTGTCACCATTATAGTCTTGGGGGTGTTGCCTTTCGTTTCGCTTGTGGTCACTGGATGTGTAAGCTGGAGGCTCTGCCATCATTTATACCGAAAGAAAGAACATATCAGGAACGACAAACAGGAAACGATTGAGATGGTTGAAGAGCAAAATGCTGTTAATGTCTCAAGAGAAAGCGAGACACCTCTGTATTCTGGGCTTTCTTCTGTGACCTCTAGTCATTATCAAGGGCTGCAGCACATGAACGCCTGTTATGAAAACTCAGATGTGGCCCAGATGAAGAAAAAGAACGAACTTGAAGCTTATGAAGAGATAGGACAGGTTCGTAGGTTCATCCGTTACGTAAGGTTATTCCAGTTGCCTTCAGTTTTAATCTAGATCCCCTTGATGTGAAGTGCTTTAGTGTTAGTGAGTCTGGTTATTTTCTGAGGCTGATTAGAAAATTAGGTGAGGGTATACCGTAACAATATTATAATACACATTTCTAAACCAGCTAGTCCCCTAATGAAATAAGGGGCACCAAAAACCAAATCTAATAATTGTTTTATGATACATTTAATATCCAGATGAATATAATAACAACAAATTAAACACACCACAGACATACTTTGAGGACATTGCTCCCCGAAATTATACATTGCGCGTACAACTTACAGATTTGCTTCTTCCTAATTAACTATAGGCTCTAATTAGCCAATGAGAGTGTAGATATTGGGTGCAATGTATAACAAACGAAGTACGTTCGCATCAATTTGAAAGGAACATTTCAATCAGTGAAAACAGCATGGACAAAATTTACAAACTAGGCACAAATATCTGTCATCCACATAATTGTGATTTTACAGTTTTGAAAGTCGTGCGAAAGCTAAGGCAATGCGTGTTACTTGATGCTTTCACCCGGAATTTCAGCCTTTTGTAAGGTTACTTAAGAGTTTCTCGCTCATTTTGAGTAATGTAAATAGTGCAGTTTGTAATATCTTGCATTGTGGATGAGAGGTCGTGGATATAACAGTACGTGTTCTCTTATGATCTGGACTCGGGGTAGGTGTGGACGTTAGTAAGGTAAAACTGATTAAAGCTTTTTAATTTCTTTTCATTTGCAGGCCTCCAGTGACGCGTATGCAACAGTGTCTCCTAAATTGCCTGAGGCACCCAACGGGAAATTTTGAGAAAAAGACCTAAAAAACAACAACAAGGCATGAATAAAGCTTTCTGAAGCCATCTTAAGCATTTTGGGGGATTGCTGGGGAAAATTTATCTGTTCCTTACTCCCAAAAAAATTAACCCCTTCAGTTGGCGAGGGGGGGGGGGGAAAACAGGTTTCTTACAAACAGCACAGCACTTACTCTAGACATCTACTAATCAACCTTGAATTGTCTATTTCACAGTAACACCTTCCTTCCAAGGACATATCATTTTTTCCAAATCTCCCAGCCTGCCAAAATTTGCCTGAAGAACAGATATTTTGAGAAACAGATCCATTCGGTGCCCCTAAATTGCCAACGGCTCTTTACCAGACTTTACAAAAACGTACTTAAGAACAGGAAATGATTATTTACGTCAAAACGTAGCAGTGATCAAGAACAATGCATTCCTAATTACAGATAAAGTTTTTCTTTTTACTTTTAAATCTTGGTCTTTGCATTCTGTTGAAGACCGAGTTTATATAGGCCGTTGAATTAAAACTAACTCTTTTTTGTGGTATACGTAATATATAATATTGTCAAATAGTGAAATGAAACTCACGGCTAGCTGGGCCAGTGCGGAAGTACTGGGAATTTAGATTAAAACATAACGGCTTTTACTGATCGTGATTACTTTATTCGGAAATCTGGAAGCCAGTATTGCCATTAAACAAGTATACGGCTTTGGAATTTCATGCCAACGATATAACTACCTATCATTCACGGTTACTAGCTTCCAGAAACCAAAAAATTGTCAAAGCTTGTGTTTGAGTACCTCGTCTTATACATTTGCGGATCAATCCCGGCGTCCATTTTAGCATTGATAGAGAGCTTAAGCAACCTGGGATGACAAAAATAAAGATGTGAACTACCTACAGCAAAGGCGACGAGAACGTAGAAAAGTAACAGTGTTAGATGTGAAAAGGAAGATGCGAGGTGTGAGATAAAAAAAAGGGGGTTGTATAAGCCCAGGACTCATAAAGTCGAAGTTTATGGTGTGTGATTTATGTCGGGTTTGTTAACAAGGGAGGGGTAAGGCTGATATAGGAGGCTTGTAAACGGAGGAGACTTAAATCCAATAAAACTGATTACGCGGAGGCCACTCACATTTGTACTGAATTAAAAACAAAAGTCCTGGAAAATAACTGCAATCCTGATAATCACGTGCGGCCATTTGATTGTGTTATTTGTTTTGTGGAAACAAAACTTCCTTAGACACCCCCTCGTCGTCTTTTGTCAGTTGCCAGGCCCTGCTGAAGTCAATAAGGGTACCGCGTGTTTACAACGTACGAGGCGTGTTCAGTAACTCGCATCTTGCACCTCCAATTTTCTAACTCACACCTCGCATTTTCTATCTTGCATCTCGTATTTTCATCTCGCATTTTTTATCGCACATTTCACATTTTCTACCTAGCATCTCAGATTTTTATCTCGCATCTCGTTCTTTTCTTATCTCGCATCTCGCATTTTTTATTTCGCAACTCGTATTTTCTATCTCGCATGTCGCATTTTTATCTCGAACTTAGCCTGGATTTTTAAACATCATCCAGAATTTATCTCTTATCTTGC